AGAAAATTGTTTGCTTTGCCAAAATTTTAAAAGCCTCCCAGGCTGCACTTCGCCTTCTTTGAAGACTGGCGAAGTTTAAACAATTGAGACTGGGGGTCGCACTTATGTTATGTTACTTGCCGACAGATTTATCATTTATAGAAACAAAATTGGCCCAAAGGCTACTGTATTGAATTTCGCTATTTATCGATTTTCATTTCTTTTTGGTTTTTGTTTCCACGGGAAAGAAAAGTACACTATGCCTTCAATTCATTTCCAATTACTGTTGCAATTTTCAAATCGACCCGATAAAGGAAATACTTAAAAAAAACAAAACCGATTGAAAATGCTTGGTATCCTCTAAAAATAACTTGTATCGAGACGACTTAAATAGATGTTTTGTACTAGATATAGAACGCTGTTTCAATTTTACATTGTCGTTGTCTAATTTCCACTTGCTAACGTAATCTTTTTTCTACAGAAAGTCAGTTTTAATCGATTGATCTGCAAACAACCGTATAGACGTAATAACACAATGGCTCGTTTACAAAATGTCCACTCAAAGGAAAAGGTTTAACTTATTTTCGCAGTTTTTGTAATGAATCAGTTGCAAAAATACTATCGTACCGAAAAGAAACAAGTTCCTCACAAACACCGTGACGTGTGCAAATCATGCGCAAGGGGTTTAAAGCAGTTTAGTTCAATTTGTGCTTTTGTTTGTTTCTTTGTTTGTTTTTTTATCTCCTGTCAGCCCTCAGTGCTCAGCCCAAAACAGACTTCAGCATTAACCTTTCGAGAAAGGACATTTGATTAGCAAATATCTTTTTGATCTGTGAGCGTAACAAAGACAAATATCTACGTACTCAAGCTTGTGTTGGCTTCCGTTGTCCAATTCTTATCGTTATAAAACAGACACGTGTAGGTTCCAGCGTCACTCGGCTTAAAGTGGCGGATGCCAAATTCACTCGTTATTACATCTTTCCCGTCATGTTTTGCCTTGGAAACAACTCGTCGTCCATCCTTGAACCATTTGACTTTAGGCAGCGGCGAACCACGAGCAGAACAATTGAACTTGACAGAGTCACCGACATTCTGCACTTGAACCTCACTGGAAGGGCGCGCCACAATAAAAGGATTCACTTAAAGAGATATAAGAGAACATAACTATTAGAACCGCGCTTTTGTTCTATAAAATATTAGAACCAGGTGTGAAGATTTCATATTTTTGATAGTATTTCACTGGTTTTCATGTTATAAATAGATTCTTCGTTTAAATTGTAAACTTACCAACATCTTTTACAATAATCCATGTTACTGCTATGACGCTCCCAAGTTGATTCTCTCCTTCACATAGGTAAGCACCGCCATCGTCCTCCGTCGTGTTTTTAATCGTAAGTGTGTCGCCATCAATGACATGTCGGTTGATGGGAAGTTGGTTGCGTGATCTTGTCCACGTAATCACAGGTGAAGGGTAACCAAAGATATCACATTTGAGAATTGTGTCCCAGTTTTTGTAACCAATCACAGACCGCTTCGGTTCTGTGATAAATTTTGCTGGTACTGCAAACAAGACAAACGGAACAGAGAAAGCTAAAGTAAGCCTATCAAGCCTATCACGTTTTATTGTGCATCGCTTTGGGGTATTACCTTTGAATACGCGGTGTATGCGAGGCAATTTTGCGGGTTGTTGTTGCTTAGCTCGTGTCTAGGATTGTAACACATTACTGTATAATGTAAAGTCCGCAAGGTAGAAACTGTGAAAAAAAAAAAAGGATTTTGTGGGCGTTTCTAAAACCTTATTACAAGAAGTGCCCATTACAAGCTATATTTAAATGAAGCAAAAACTAGCTAAAGAAGTTGAAACATGCCCGACAAAAAGATGTAACTGTTATTAACTCTATGAATTTTAAACGTTAGCCTTGAATATAACATCAATAAGTGAGAACTTTTTTCTTCACACACTAGCCCACTCATCGTTAACGCCAAAACTTAAAATTTGTGTTAACTTTTAGTGAACTTAAGTAGCAGAACAGAAGTAGCAGTAGCAGTAGCATCCGTATCCGTAGCAGAAGCAGCAGCATTAGCGGTAGCAGCTGTGGCATTCCGTAATAATAGCAGCATTACTACCAGTAGCAGTATAGTGGCAGTATAGTAACAGTATAGTAACAGTAGCAGCCTGTAACAGTAGCAATAGCGGTAGCACCAGTAGCATTAGTTGAAGTAACAGCAGCAGTTGTCGTCGTCACCGTAGTAGTAGCAGTAGTAACAGTAGTAGCAGTAGTAGCAGTAGTAGCAGTAGTAGTAGCAGCAGCAGCAGCAGCAGCAGTAGTAGTAGTAGTAGTAGTAGTAGTAGTAGTAGTAGTGAGTAAAAATAGTAGCAGTAGCAGAAGCAGTGACAGTAGCAGCAGTAGCAGTGGCAGTAGCGGTAGCATTGGCAGTAGCAGCAGCAGCAGTAGCAGTAGCAGTAGCGGTAGCAGTAGCTGTAGCAGTAGCAGTGACAGTAGCAGTAGCAGTAATAGTGGCAGCTGTAGTAGCGGTAGCAGCAGTAGCAGCTGTACCTGCAGTAACAGTACCAACAGTAGCAGTAGCAGGTGGTGGTGGGGGTGGTGACGGCTCAGCTGCATTAGTAACAGAGGTGGTGGCGACGGTGGAAATGGTAGTGCTTGTAGTAGTATATATATAAGTGTTATTAGTGGGATAAGGTAGATTACTGACTGTCTAACTCGGACAAGATCGGTTCAGTTTGAAATGTGACGCTTGAATTATTACGTTTGGTAAATTTAATGCTGTACTTACCTTTTACAGTTATATTAACTGATAACTGGACTCTGCCCAACAAATTCTCCGCTGTGCATGTGTACATGCCATGATCTTCGAACAAAATGCTCTTTATTTCCAAATTTCTTTTCTTAAATTGTTTCCGTTCTTCTTCTATCACTTGACCGTCTTTATACCACGTGATCACCGGCGGTGGGAACCCACCTGCTTTGCAAGGTAATACCACTCTTTGTTTCTCTTTCACTGTCATGGAAGGAGAGGGTTTTGCAACAAAGCGTGGTGATTCTGTGGGGAAAAAAAGTACTAGTACTGTTTTGGTGTCAGAAGACTGCAAAACGTTCACGAAAATGCCTTCGCAAAATGGCTGTACAGCCGTGTAAGAAAACTCACATGATTTATCAGGTTATCAACGATAGAAATCAAACGTGTTCTGTGTGTTTAGCGAAAATGCAAAACGAGAAACAAGGAAAGAGTGGTTGATTCGTTGATCTACAGAAGAAATTAGTTCATTTTAGTCTTCACACCTTCAACACATGGCTGCCGTAAAGCAACGGAAATATCTGTCATTGAAGTTTACTATTGAAACGAAAAGGTATTACTTTAGAGCTCCGACAAGTTGAAATAAATAATACTTCATCTAGGGCAAGAACTGTTCACTTAGCTAAAACTAAAGTGATAACTCGTCTTCTCACCTACGCAACAGCCTTCGCGGGCCACCGTTTTAACGATAATTCCCGGAGCGCAAAAGCGTAGAAATTCAAACTTGCTCTATTACAAAACGAAGAACCCTGTCGAGCTAAACCGACGTTAAACGTCAAGTTCCTTAGGTTCTCTTATCTGATGAAGCTAAAACGTCACAACTACGTCGCATCAAGAAATGTGCTCCTGGCCATGTAAATACCGGCAATTTTGTGTACAAAGGATGGAAATTTCCTCATTTGTCTGCTCAATATATTCGGTTTGCTGAAATGCTTGAGTGAATTTCATTACAGGTTCTTGGTAACAATGATATTAAAATTACGCATCAGCGTGAATAATTATTAAAAAGGAACACAGCAAGTCTTTTAAATTTAGTAGGTTTTCCGGCCTCTAAATTCACTTCTTGGCTTTACCTCGAGTGGTAATCAAATTTATATGAATTTTCTTTAACATTTCTTTCATCGGATCGACCATCCTTCACCGCGACAGAATTTACTGATAACCAGATGCAGTAATTGTGTTTATTCGGTTTGTTGAAATGCTTAATGGTGAATTTCTTTAAACTTTATCGTGTCGAATAGATGACTAGTATTTATAGGTGCTACCTGATCACTTCACATTATTTATAAACGATCCGAAAAAAAAAATCTTCGTTCTTGGTTGCTCTCTCAAATTATATCCAGTAATGCTCGGATTTTAACTTAAAATACTTTCTAATTGGTCAAAGCGACTTAATGGTATTAGTGAACTGTATCGTAAACTGAAAAATATATATATGTTTGGGGAAAAAAAAGAAAAAGAAAAAAAAGGATTTCCGAGTAATGCTGCTGAAATTATTATTTTTTTCTTGTTATTTGTAAGGTTAATCTTATAAAACTACTGATTATTTTACATATTCTTTAAAAAAAACATGTTTTTTTCTGTTGTTGGCTGTTCTCTCAGATTATTATCACGTAATATTCAATTTTATATTGAATATCTTTCTGCTTGGTCAAAAAGCGATTTAATGTTACTGTTGAACTGTATGGGTTATTGTGTTTTTTGGGGATTATTTTTGAAATACCGATCCAACTTCGCCATTCACATCATGAAATGGTACTCAGTTTTCAGGGTCCTCGTTAGTTCTTTCCTGCGTCTTCAGTCACTATAATTAGGAGCAGTTTAGCTTGAACTTTGTGCCAAGTTCACGTTTGGAATAAACATGTCAGTGAAAAGTCTAAGAAACCATTACAAGTTATTTCCCAACCTGCATCAGAACAACCATAACGAATAAACAAATAAACAACCTCGTCCCACCTGGTTAAAACTCAGGAAGCAGGAATACAACATGTTAATGTAAGACACACCAAATCACATTCCGTTAAATTCATCACGGTTGTCAATCGTCACACTACACCTAAGCTTTGTCTCAATAACAAACAATCGTACCTAACTGGCGGCCATCACTGGGACTTGCTTCACGATGTGTTGCTTTACCAGGCGGGCCTGCAGGTCCGGGGGGTCCTGGTAATCCTCTGCTGCCTCGTTTTCCCTGACGTCCAGGTGCACCCGCAGTTCCCTTTCTTCCTCTTTTACCACTTGGTCCGGGAGGGCCCTGGGGACCAGTAGGTCCAGACGAACCGGGAGGGCCTGGGGGCCCTCTAGGTCCTACACGACATGATAAAATTAACTTTGAGTTCAGTAAGATGACGTCAAGTAAGACGACGTTCGGTAGGATGTTCAGTAAGACGTTAAGTAAATAATAGTCAATAAATAAAGAGTTCCCCAGAGCTTCGTGTCTTGCTTAGTCCAAAAAGCGAAGATTTAGGGTCAGGAATGAGGAAAGTCACTGCCCTGAAAGAATAATTTACCATCACACAAATCTTACCTTCCATGCAAACTATCTTTTCCTGACTACCTTCCACTGTCAAGTTCTGTTGAGTGAAAAAAA